AGAATACTACGCCAAGCAGAATATCTGTTATGGAATTGCAATATGGTAAGCATGAGGCATTATCAGCAGTTTCCCAAACAAATGATTTATTCGTGATAGGTAAACAGTGCGTTATCGGAATGACAATTTGCGCTATCGTCACTTGGTATCTAGCAGAATTAAAATTTCCGGACAATAATCATCTCAATAATTATTAGGTTATTCTTGTAGGCAAAAAATACATCATAGACGCTTCGCTGCATTAGTTTTCGATTTTTCCCGTGAAGTTGAGACAATTGTTCTGATATTTGCGGTGATCAGTGAAATACGGAAGGATGCTAATTTAAGGTAACGGTAAAATTTTTATAAATTTCAAATGTACATTCAATGGCGGCAAATACATTCTACAGATTTTACCTGTGAAAGATGCATACTAATTTACTAAAAAGACTAGCAATCAGGATTGGCAATGATTAAATCAATTGATTTTTTTGTAAAAAATCATGATTTTTTTATTTTTTTATTTTTTATGTATATGATTATATTGACTGGCATTCTTTAATTTATTTTGAGATATTGTTATTAATGGTTTAATATAAATGTCCTATGACAAATTGGAATATTAACCTGTTGCCTTTAGTGTGTATTACGTACTAATGAATTGTATGTTTTTGATACAGAGGCATCAAGTTTTCCAATACATTGTACATAGCTAGCAGCTTAGCTAATTCTTATAAGGCTATAAGTAGTCTTTAACTAACTATTTGACTATTTGTTATATATTAATTACATTATACAATTTACTTACATGTATTAGCTAGCTTATATATTGAGAGGTTGAGATTGTAATGATCTTTCAGGCATTTAGAAAAATTTTCCACCCTTATATGAGTATTCTAATTAGAATATTTATTTTCAATCTTTAAATATGTGAATTTAAAACTAGAAACAAAACAATTACAAATACAAAACTATATATAAAATAATTAAATGCGGTGAATGAAAATAAAATGTTTGAATTGTGCACATGTTTATTTTAAATTGATTTATACCAGATTTATTTATATTCCACGATACCAAAATTTCGTGATCATATTCTTGCTCAATATTAATTTAACGTTTATCTTATAGTTTTTTTTTCTTGTGACAATTTACTTATGTACTGCCTTTACTTTAGAATGTAATATTTGTATTATTTTTTTTGTACTTGTTGCCACTATTATGTTCATACTCGTCACCTATTACGCCTGCGAAGCTTTCTTATAGCTTGTATAGGCCTTTCACCTGGAAGCATTTATTTCTAAATAGCATGTTTATTTTTCTCTTTCTATTGAGTCGTGCTGTGTTGCTTCTGTGTGTGAAAGAATAAAGAATAAAGAACCTCAGCGGTGCATATAATTTATTAATAAATTTCCAGCGCGCGTCATTATTGCAAACAACAGAAAAGCATTGAAGTTATGAATAATTTAACATTTCCTAGGACAGACAACCTTTCTTTTGCACTAATTAGGGACAGTGAAAATTTAAATCTTTGATTCAATATTGCTTTGTAATGCCATCTGCACGCAAAACGAACGCGTTTCCACCATCCATTCGAAAATGTGGACCAGAATCGTGTGTGCTATGCGACACACGAATTTCAGGCATAGCGTATATTTTTGCTTGTGGCAATTCCGACAAGTGTTTATGAATCGCAGTTACTGAGACTATAGGAAAGATTACTCTCAGAGCAGGTATGGTTGATTAAATCGGTATTGGAAAGAGATTTTTCGGCTCAGAAATTGTTCATGATCTACAGTTGGTGATACCAGTATGCAATTCTGCAAGCGCAGTCAGTGAAGATCGCGCAATATCGGAGCGATCTACATATATATAAATATATCTTCATATATATATCTTCATATATAACTTCATATATCTCATCATAGAGGAGGTAGCGGGCTACACAGGCAAGCAGAACCATGGTTGAATTAATACAGTATTAATTCAACCATGAGCAGAACGGTATCCCCCGAGCCGTGGCAAGAAAAAAGCGACAATTGAAACCCAAGCAACTAAAAGAGCAAAGCCATTACCGATGAGTAGAATGACAAACTTTTTTTCACTCAGAATACTCTATCAGGAATATATCCAACCTGGCACCTTATGTTTAAATGATGTTGTTTAAACGTTAATCCTGCGGAATCAACTAATAAACGTTATTATATCGTAATTTGCTTGGAAGCACACACATCTCGGTCGTTCGTGAGACCTCTATATGCAGGAAAAACACCTAAGAGCTTGTCGCATTCAAAATTTATTTTCCGTGATAATAAATTGAGAAACAGCGGATTTTTTCGAACTTCTGTGGGTCTTTACTTGATTGTACATCTAATTTGGAATCATGGTTCGTTATGCGAAAATCTCTATAACGAACATCAAATAAATTTCATGTAGAATCACTCCTGACTTTTTGGATAATGAACTTCATACATAGAAAAATCAATGATAGACGAATAACAAACGAAAACAATCAATTTAAGCAAAGGATAAATTTAAACTAAAAAGCAAAATAAAAATCTTTACTCTAATTTGTTCACTTTTGAAGAATCTAATGTTGATAGTTAATTGCGAAACAAAACACTTCCAAGTTGTATTTTAAATCCAAAGCTCTGCAATGAAAAATTGCCACATATCGCTAGAAAACTGAGCCGTGCAACCACTGAATCAATTACAGTTATACCTCCAAATATTGCATTAACCTCTATTAAAAGTGCGTTGTACTATTAAAAAAGTATACATGAAAATTTCACCATAAAATGCAAGCATTTCATTTGAAAGCTCACGCTTCAGTATTGATTCAGGAGCTCAATGATATCTTGGTAAACTAGAGTCTTAGCTTTCTTAGAGAAAATAAAGTCAAAATGATCAAAAGACACGCTGTTGACGCGGTAACTCCTTTGAAATCCTGGTACGGTTTCCTCAAGTCTTCGGACGTCCTGAAAACAGGAATAAGTTATTATCTCTGAGCAAAAGAGTGCAATATTTGTGTAAGATTTAGCTACATTATACAGTAAAAATTTTGATAGGGTGCACGGTTTGTTTTCTAATTGGATGCACTGTTTGCTCTCCAATCAACACCATAACGTGAAACACAGATTTTTATTTAATAAATAACTCTGATTTGAACAAACTTGCAGTTCCAATTCAATTTAAAATTATTAACTTACAGATCCGCTAAATTTTGCTGCTAGTATGTAAATATATATACAACTTTCATACATACTAGCACATACTATACATACTATATACATACACACTTTTAATTTTCCAAAAAATGATTTCGGTCGTTGTTTAACTCTCGTTTGATATTATCTTTTTGCGTCAAATATTTCTCCACCGTCACTTATCTTGTAGAAATAATTTTTTGGTAGGAAAGCGCTACATACAGTCAATAATCAAATGAAGTATCTAAACATCTTGTCACCTTATTCATAATTAAGTGCGTGTCCATTTAATTGCTCTATTCATTAATTATAAGGGGAAGTGAGGTATAAAATAATTATTACTATCGAGAACAAAATAAAATGAAAATTATTATTGTATTATATCTTTATCAAGTAAAGTATCCACCTCATTCATTTTCAAAGTAAATAATTATGCTTGGTTCATCATGATGCACCTTGGTCTTTGTGGTAGGGTCATTTTCAGCCCAGTAGAGCGCCACGGGGCAAGGTATCCTGGATACGTTGTAGGCCGGGGGCGTGACATGGCCGTAGCGACGCCGGTTCTCCGCCTCCCCGAAGTCAAACTTACGGAACTCAATGTCTGCCCATCCGGATATTATTCATTATACAGCAATATTGCATTCATGTCTGATTTAGATGCTCAATTTAGAGCGTATTTTTGTCGACAAATTACCTTAATCCGGTTCAAAGTACAAAAATTTTAGGCACTATAGTTAATTCCAACTATTTATAATTCTAAACTAAACGCCTAACATTTTCAGCACTGAATAGAACTTCTTAAAGCTTTGAGATCACCACAAGTCACCTAAGTTCCATATTTTTTTCTCGGAAATAACAATCATTCAGGATTTGAATGTACTTGGTCTCAAATATTTGCCATCACAATTAGCTTTCAAGAACTATTAATTGTTCAACTAAAAAATTGATTTACCAATTCATGAAAAAGTCGTTCAATCTTACATGCTGGTTGTGCTCCTTGAGAAACCATCCTGGCGGATGAACCCTCGAAGAAGTTTGCGAGGATGACGGGTATTGTTTCCTAGTAAAAATGATGAGTAACCAAGAAATTATAAATGCCCACAAAGAATTTCATCATTTTAAATTAAAATGTAGTATATGTATGAAAAAATATAGTTATCTAAGATTGGAAATGAGATCTTGTTATAAAATATGCTTCCTTAAGATTTATGATTTAAAATGAAGTAAATATATCATAGAAAGTGAAACAATATCCTGAATATTTTCTAAGTAACTTGGAAGGTTGTATAAATTTAGTGTGCCGACTTAAAAAGTTAGGGTAGATATAAAGCGAATGAGAAAATGTTGTATATAAGTTCTCAAAAAATAACACTAGAAATTTTGAGGTAACTTATTGTTCCGTTTTAAATTAAATTTTCTGAAAAATTACCCCCTTCATAGCATATAAGTCGTCGATGAAAATTCTTTCACTGAGAGCTGAGGCGAGAATATTATTGCAAATGCTTTGCCCAGGAGATCCCATTTTGCAAAACGTTGATAAGGCGTAAATGAGGACGAGTTTGCGGGGAAGTACTTCATAAATGCCAATTTTCTCCAGTAGTCTCTGCAATGTTAAAAAATAACATTTCTACCTATAATGTAGTTTTAAGTTCAATAAAGGCTCATTCAAGATTGTTGTTATTTTATTTATTACAGTCGGCGGTAAGGAAAGCAATATTGTTGTGCGTAAATGCTACGTTCCGAAAGAAAAAAATGCCATAACGGTTAAATTTTATGGATTGAGCGCCAGATTAACAACATAATCAAACGCAGAGTTATCTTTCATTTAAAGAAATGGACGAGATCAACTGAGAATTGTGAACGCTTAAAACAATAAAAAATGGTATAAAAAGTTTCCCCTCGTGTGTCATGCAAACGATGATACGAGAAAAAATTTATGAGAACCGATAATACATTACAAATCTTCATTTTTCATGACACATAATTTACTAGGATTCGACTGACATATATAGGAATTGACTGACAATTCTCCGACAAAATACTTACCGATAATACCTTACAAATCTTCCTTTTTCATGACATATAATTTACTAGGATTCGACTGACATATATTGGAATTGACTGACAATTCTCCGACAAAATACTTACCGATAATACCTTACAGATCTTCATTTTTCATGACACATAATTTACTAGGATTCGACTGACATATATAGGAATTGACTGACAATTCTCCGACAAAATACTCCGTTTACTCACCCAAAGTTGCGACAAAATCTTAGCTCGTGGACTTTGTTGACTGAATAGAGAAAGGAATCCAGCACTGCCGATACTGACGATGAGCTCAATCTTGAATAAAATTTATCATGGTAAAGCGTTAGCCGTAATTCGACCTAATTCCATAACTCAAGCTTGAGCCAAGGGAAAAAATAAGTCTCAATGAGCTCAATCTTGAATAAAATTTATCATGGTAAAGCGTTAGCCGTAATTCGACCTAATTCCATAACTCAATCTTGAGCCAAGGGAAAAAATAAGTCTCAATGAGCTCAATCTTGAATAAAATTTATCATAGTAAAGCGTTAGCCATTTTTCGACCTAATTCCATAACTCAAGCTTGAGCCAAGGGAAAAAATAAGTCTCAAGAACATCTTCAAATATCGTTGCATTTATAATAGCGAAAATGCTTCTGAGATTAATTGAGTGTGCACGAAAGCATATTTGCTGCCGATTTCAAAACTGGCATTGTTTCTTCTCTAGCGCGTCTGTCTTTTAGAATAATAGTATTTAAAAGTTAAATCTATGTAACACATATATGTACATGTGTAATTGATGATTTATCTAATCAAATTGATCCTCATATATATTTATATATGGCGATAGTTGGACCGAATGCGCAAATAAATATACTATAGCAATAAGAATAATTATATTTTTATAGATGTAATAAACAAATAAAAATAAAAATACGCTAGTTCGCTGTACAATTATATTAAGTTTGTGCCTCAGAAATACAATCAAGACCTCAAATTGTTATTAAATTTGCATATGAACAAAACTATACCTAACACCCAAAAGTACTCATCTTGCCTTATAATTGCTGCATCAGATGTGTTCCTGTAGTTTGCTGTTCCGTTTGTAGGACCAGATAACAGCTAAATATCGTAAATATTTTGCGTAGAAAAAGAAATAATTCAAAACAAGACGTGCTAAAGAAAAAACAAAGCCTTCTTGAGATATGCTGGAGAAATCCTTTCCAACCCATTCAACATGATTTTAAAACCATTTTTGCATTTTTTATTGACCAATGTAATATGGCTTGAATTACTTTTGTAATAGATATTTCTTCAATATTGTGACCACAAAATTGATTAAAATCATTAGCATTAAATCATTTGTTTTTCGAGCATGCTATATCTAGATTTCTATTGATAGTTGTGACGCAGAATTGTCTCACCTTTTCAGCTACCATTCTGTTGGTGGCTGTCATTAAACCAATTCTTCCACCTTGTGAATAGCCGAGGATGATCACTTGTCTGTGGTCTGTCTGTGTGATGATGTGATCAATCATTGCTGGCACGTCATAATCACTCATTTCATCCCGACTGAAATATGAAGTGAAAAAAAGTCAATATATATTTTGGTCCCACGATACCTCTGGAGGAAATCCCATGGGACCTCCTCTGGTCCCATGATACCTGGGTGCAAACGAACGCACATAAGAACATGCATTACTGATTATTATGTAGATAAGTCGCAAACGTATTCAATTATAATATTTAAATTTGGTTGATCTAAAAATCGCAGTAATAAAGATTCATGATATAGCGCGGCCAATAGTAGCGCTACCTGAAGTGCCAGAAACTTTCGTCAGAGTCTGGATTAAGACTTGTATGGTTGCGGCTGTAGGTGTTGCCTCGAAAGTTGCCAAGCCACACATCGTAGCCTGCATCGGCCAAAATGTAACCTGAAATGGCAGAGAGGAAATGGTAGTTAAAAAGGGTTTAAAAAATTAATGTATCTGGTGATATGGGGGTGAGAGGGAGGTATTGATTTCATTTAGCCTTTTTTGACGATATGGCATCTTGCATCTCTCGAATAACTGTTTACAGAAATGAAGTGCCTACCGTTTTGCGTCGATTCAAAAAGTTTTCACCGCATTTGTTTGATTTGAGTCGAACACATATGCATACGTCACTAGGATGGTATAACTAATTGTCAAACTCATAACTTGTATTTCTCAACTCATAACTCAACTTCTCTTCTCAACTCATAACTCATAACTAATTGTCAAACTCATAANCCTCGTGGTCCGGAAATGCGGTGAACCGCCAGGACATATCCGTCCCGGGTGGTAACGAAATGCTCTTCGTACGGATAGCCTTGCTGTGCGATGATAGCGGGCTGTCGAGTGTACAAAATCATTAAAACAATTAAACGAACATTTTTACCAATAGTTCTATATCAGCGTGTTAATTAGATATGTGTATACAGATTAAATAATCTAGTAGCACATCATTAACGGAGAGCTAGACGAGATGTCTGCAAGAGCGTAAGAACTTCAGCCCATTACAACAGATTTTCTAAGGACTTTTTAACGGCTAAATAGTTTATACAGGTTTTTTAATTCTTTACATTTAAAACGATTCTCTCACGCCGCGAACCATTTTTTTCAAAGGTTCGATTAATCAATTAATGCAGAATCATCGATAGGTATTGTCCGAGGGTAGTTTGCGGATCCTAATCCCCATGTGTTTACCAGCAGACCGAGTTAGCTATCCGACCGCTGGTCCAGTGTCACTGAAAGCTTGATGCAGACGCGGAGTCGACAGCTTATAGAGCATATGTTTCAAGAGGACAAGAACTCGGTGAACGGATGTACAAAGTCTATAAATGGGCTGGGAACCTTAGCAAGGCCCTCCAGAAGCTGACAAGTACGCACGCCGCGAAGTAACTTGCGTTGGAGCTACTCCGCCCTGACCGCCTGACGGTCAACGTCGTGGGCTCATACCTCTATTGTATCCCTCGTATCTAACCACCAGGTATCAGAGATAGATTCTCCAGTCATGTGATGCTAGACCATATATCTCACACACGTTTGACATTGTCACCCGATTTGATTACAGCCGTGCATCATAAAAGTGAAACTCGACTGCTTGACTATAATTGAGAGACTTTAACTACGGTGGTGAAGTAAAAGACTTTTAAAATGTTTATGATTATAGCAATACCGCCGCATTGTGATTTTCGTGCGGTGTATACTTTCAACGGATGGTTTCTGTGACGTTAAACTCACGTGGACGTTTGATCAACGGATAATCCTAGAAGACCTTCATATACTAATTACACTGTTGCAGCAGCCGAAAACTGAGAGAAGATTCAAGTTTTGACTAGCGCGTTTTAGTATTTAACCTACAACGTCAAGAGTTATTTAGCCTACAACTGACGCACTGTCACAGAGACAGCTAGATTTGAAACGTTCACAAATTAATTATATTTTGGCAATCTTCGGAATCCGGTACGACCATACAGAGAGTAAATAAAGGCGGTAATGCGGTGGCGACACGATGTAACTCCCGCTAGTTACTCTGACCTAACGGGCTACGTCTAGCCTTTAAGCACTATATTATCACACATTACCAGCACGTAAAAGAGATTAAGATTCTGCAGCCATGTGGTGCCATACCATATCTCTAACGAATAGTTTAATATAGTGCCGGGCAGTATTTATTAAAAATATATAAAATATTTCAGACGTTTGCAACCAAGATTTAGTCGTTTTTCAAAGGTTGATATTTTTGGTCTTTTGCGTTTTATGCAGAACATCAAATTAGAAAAATACACGTTATTATGTTCATCTTATTCAAAATAAGAAAAAACTCACCGAAGGAATTTCGACTCCATTTTTCTTTAATGAAGACAGTAGCAATGTATCCAAAGCTCCATTCCGAGTGCCTGACGAATTGTTATGATTTCCTATAAAATTGAAAATGAAATTAAAAGGTATTTTCCTTGCTGCCGAAGCATTAAACGCTACTAATACATTATCGAAAATCGAAGAAGTCACACCTGTCCCTGCCGAAACTTGGTTACAGTCACGGGACAAATGCACGATGAGCAGCCATAAAACAATAACGACAAGCTCATTTTTAATAATAATTAATTGCATCGCTTAACATTAAAACTGCCTGTGGGTGAAGGATTGCACTAATTCATATGAAATTCGAATCTAAGGAGAAATTAGGTTTTTGGTATAAATAATGGTTGGAAAATTTTCTACTGTAAAATGCTGTCGTCGAGATAGCCGCCGTCGTACGCAACGAACGTACGCATTTTATACATTTGGGTTAAATGATTGCATTTACATTTAAATCAGAATCGTTCTTTGCTGCTACAATCAGCTAGTATGCTGATAATAGTAATCTGGGTTGTAACGGTAATCCCAATTCTTGACAGGGATTTCAATAGCGATTTCACAGCCTTTTATCTTTCCATTGAGTACGCCGATATTCCACCATCAACTATTCGGTAAGATATTTCTCAACCGTAGGAAAAAACGTCGTGTTTTTGTATTTAAGATGAACTATTGCTACTAATTTATCTTCTCTTGCCTTGGCTACATAGATAATGTTTAAAAAATAACCTTCACCCATATTGGCACAAAAACTAGCCGGACCTGAATTTCTAGACTACCTCATTTCCTAGCCTCCGAACTCTGACCTTAAACTTCACTAAACCATTTATGTCTAACACTTTTTACCGCCCAGCGCTCTGATTCTCATCCAAGAATCATAATGTTTTCGTGGAACTTTTCAGAATTTATGATACAAAATTTACGATAATATAAAAAGTGAAATAGAAATTGTAAATTATTATCTGATAGGAAACTTGGTTGTTGAAATTATTAATGTCTTACGTAGATTAAATTAGTTTTGAACTTAAAATTAAAAGGTTTCTTGATTGTTTTCATGTTGTGAAATGTCGGTACATTCGACTGATGTACCATTCAGTTTTCACTATTTATTCATGAACAAGTTGTGTTTTTGAATGTTTTGTATATGAGTGCTTTAGTCAATTTGCGTTCTTGCATTCATCGTTCAAGCTCGTTAATGACGAAGTCTGTGTGTTTAAATCATGTGTATTCGTATTTGAGTATTGAAGACGAATATTGTGCTTGAATCCTGTGTGTTGCCTGTGAGTGCTGTCGACGAGTCTCGCATCAGAACTTGTGTTAATGTATGCTGAAGACGGAGTGTATTTAAACCGTGTGTAATCACGTATTAAAAACGAGTTGTAACTTCAATCGCTTTAGTTCCACGTTTTCTGGACAACAGGATGAACCCATACCGCCAACGATCTACTTAAGTTTAAAGCATCACGATTTATTTTCTGAATCTGTCGAAATACTAAAACTGATCACATCACAAAAGTTTTCATTGTATTTGAATAAGTTTTAACCGCAGTTTTGATGTCAACATTGTTGTGGTACGAATTTACTCTTAAACACTGATAAA